ATCTCTCTGGCTAACAGTAATATTCATACACAAGTCAGTGCAGAATTCACATAGGTGACATTAAGCTGCACTGACTCTTTCGAGGTGACAGTTGCAAAATGTAATAAGAATTCATTCTGATCAAGAAGAGATACAGCTCCATGCATGAAGCTACATCAACCAGACTACTTAAGATGACACAAAAATACTAATTTTATAATAACCCAGCACTACCAAGTCCACCACTAAACCATGTCCCTAAGCACCACATCTGCATGTCATTTAAATGCCTCCAGGGATGATGGCTCAACCACTTCCCTGGGCAGCCTGTTCCAATGCTTGACAACCCTTTAGGTAGAGAAAGTTTTCCTAATATCCAATCTAAAACTCAGGATGTTTGTCTACAACTTCATGCTATCCCCTTCCTTCTGCGCACAAATCTTAAAAAAAAAACAACAAAACCACAAATGACAAAACGAACCCTCAAATCACTCTGAAAACAAGAAAACCGACTTAGCATTTCAGACTGAATTAGTTAGAAAAACTGTGCAACGTAATTGGAACGTCAGAATGGCAGTATCTACTCAGACCAAAAGCTGATCTAGCTTTGCATACTTCCAGACAACACTGAATGCCTAAGGAGGGACAGAAGAATCGACCAGTCACATTGTGCTGATGCTTCCCTAAACATACCTGCAAAATCCTGCGGAATGGAGATTTTCATCTTCTGTGCAACGTGTGTAACCAGTGTTTTTAGTTTGTTTTGAATCTGTCTCCTTGATGCCACCTAGGTCTTCCCTGAATAGGTCACTGAATAACCACAGCCTTTCTATGCCACTGTTTTTCTTTCTAACATTGTATCTTCATTTGCTAATCCTTTTTTAAGCTAAAGAAGCCAATCTACCTGCTGTCACTGGCATGAAAGCCCTTCTCTGCCTTCCATTGTCTTTATCATCTGTCTCCAAAACATTTACAATTCTACTGATCCTCTTCAAGGAGAAGGGAATAGATGAGACAGACAATACTAATAACATAGGAGTACCATGGATTTATTCAATCACATAGTGATGTTCTTTTCATTCCCTAAATTTTATTTCCTAAAGTTAAAGCTTACAGTCTTGTAGAGCAGCAGACCTTTTGTTTTAACTGGGCAATGCCCATGCTTCAGCATGAAGAGATGTATCTTTAAATGACAAAGCTTTACCAACGTTAAATGATCATTAAAATTAAAATGATATCATGTACAATAGGGCATTAAAATATGCATGTAATTCAGAATGGATTTTTTGATTAGACTGTACAGCCTCACAGACAACTACTTATGGGAGTTGAAAGCCCACCACGTACCTTAACTGGTTAACAATTTCTGTTACAAGTTCCATTGTTTCCCCTTTTTTCCAAGTCTGTGTTATTTCGGATGGAATCACCCTGAGCCACACAGAGATTTGTCTGCTGGAGTTCTAATTAGATATGGCTAAGATAGGGAGAATTTGAATGTTAAGATTTGCCACTTCCCTTTTCATGTGGTTTTTCTGAGGAACTTCATTTCCTCAGAAAATTTCTGGTAGCATGACAAACAACAACAAAAAAAATCCCCAAATTCCAAACCATTGTATTTTTTGGAGACTGTCTCCCTCTGCCATTCGTGAGAAGAAATGGTTACCATCACTACATACACACTGAAACACTAAGGGAAAACAAATAAAACACACTGCCTACTCACTGAAATCTAGACAAGTCTTGAAAACTAAAAAGGCTCAAGGAAACAGCTCAGAAATACATCCCTGAAAAAATACAAATGACAAAATACAAATAAACCAAAGTAATACAAATATTTTGTAATAGAGTCACATGACAATCTTTAATAAACTTGGAAAAAACATCCTGGCTGCAAAATTCTTAAGCCTTATGATAGTGAGCAACATGGATACACTGGATGTGATGAACCTTGCCCAAATGCTAGATGCTAACTTGAAAAGAGTGGTCTTTCATCTGCAGGTAGGAGCCTCACCATGAGTTAACACCAGCAAGAACTCTCCTGCAGGGTGGCCCTATTTTCCTGAACAATGAAGTCACATTATTTCTTCATTACAATTACAGCAAATGGATAAACTTAATCCTGTTCAGGCAGTCTAAGTTCATACCCTGTGAGTACCCAAAGCACTGAGCTTATTCTATGACTGATTACAAATGTAAAGGTTAGAAAAAATTATTCCTCCTACAGCCTTTCCTATATGTCCTTTTTATTTAATTCCTCTTCCCTTGAATTCTCTTTCTTACTTACTTTAGCCTTAAGATGCCTCTAGTAATGCTTTGGCTTTAAAATTATTTTGTAATACTTTATAAGGTCTAGGTTTTGTTATCTTTTACATGAAATTCAGATTATTGTTTGTTATAAAGCAACACTGTAAGTAAATATCTGGCAAAATGGCTAATAAGGAATTACACAGGCATCTTGAAATCTTCAATTATAAATTTGATATAGCTTTCTTCTCCTGCAAGTGACAAGCCAGGATATTAAGGATAAAAATAAATCTCATTTACTATTGCACTATGCTATATGCCATACCAACTGATCTGTGATCAGCTGGAATTCAGTCAAGAGTATGAAGATGAAACTGAATCAATATTACAGCCAAAATATAGATGGCATAAGCAAAATATTAAAAACATGAAGCTTCATATGTATGGAGAAAGAAGAACACCTTCCTAGCAATTACTTTTAATCTGTTTTCTTCAGTATTTTTAGCCATTTAAGTATGCTTAGACTATATGTAATAGAAAAAAACCAAACAAACTGCACAAATCTGTAAAATAAATACTAGCTAAGGCTTAGGCATCTTTTAAAGATTTCTTGATCAAAGTTCCTAATTATGCAAAACTTGACAATATTAAAGATGGTGCACAGCATAGTTCAGAGCCCAATCTGATAAACCTCTGCCTACACCGGGAGCTTCAAATACCAAGATGCTGGAGGAAACCGGGGCAGTGGGAAAACTGTACTGATGTTTAAGACAAAGTAGGAGAGGATGATAAGGAACAGCATCACTGACTTGAGGGAGAAAGGGCTGGCAGTGGTCAGCCGGCATTCCTTTCAACAATTGGTCAACAGAGTTGTTTGTTGAATTGGCTGTCATCTAGCGGAATTACAGCACATTGCACCACCCTTACAGGTCTGGAGCAGTTTCCCTGAAAAATTATTGAACATTTAAATTTGGTTTTTATTCTCAAGAGTGAGAATTTTGTATCCCCCCCCCCCGCCCTAGACTATTTCTAAAGACTTGAAAAAAACCGAACTTCTACCCCATCATCTCCCGAGGTATTTATTGATACATTTTTGTCTTTCTAGAATTCATCTTTCTATACTAAAAGACCATGTGTCAGGCTGGCCCTTTTTTGTCTTTCATCTAATGGTTGTTGAGATTGAATATGTAAGCCAATGAAATAGTTTAACTTGAAGAGCTTTGGTGAATCTTGATTAAACTTTACACAGTGAAAATTACAGGCAGACCAAAAAGCCAGGGCCATCCTCTTGCCTCTTGGACACACAGACCTCATTGCAGATTCATAAATAATCAATGCCAGACAGTGCAAAAAATGGAAACAAGGCTAATGTGATGAAAAGAGGTTGATGAGCAATTGTCATATTGCATGGCTTGCACGGCTATTTTTGGAAAAGAAGAAAAACAACACATGGAGAGCAAATCAATAAAGTAACAGCCCCAGATTTCATTATTTCTTGTGTTGCAATTTAGCTGAGACAACACACCCTTTTGTGCATGTTACACTCATTTTTGGCAGTAACCTACATCCATGACAAGAATGCAGCCCCTGACTTTACATCATGAAGCTCACATCCCCCCCTCATCTTTTATTAATTATTATATGACAATATTGGGGGCTATAAATTCCATAAAAGTTCTTTGAACCGAATTCAGTAGTTTCCCACTCATTTGTTAATCCTGTAAGGAAATTGTCTCATGATGTTTTTATACAGAACTCAGGAAAATATGTATTTGGCTGACTTTAGAACTGCTAGGCTGCTGCAAAGCAGTCACAGTAAATAACATGTTAACCAAACCATCCTGACAGAGAGCAAGTTTGGAGCTCTGCAGTACCACTTCGGAAAAAAACCTCTTTTTCCAGCACATCTGCCAAACCACTGCTTCATCCTCTGACCGAGGGCATTTCAACACATGGCTCTCACTCTAGGCTTCAGCATAACAAAGACCAGGCTGTCACCCAGAGCCATGTCATTTCCCCCTTCCCATTCCTCCCTTTTCCCTGCCTTCTCCCTGCAGCTGATAAATCTTGAGGCTGCTCCTTCAGGTAGCTGAGCAGGCTAAAACCCAACCAGCCCGGTTCCTCCATTGGAAACTAACACCTGGCCGCACCAGGACCAGTCCGAGGGGGGCTCACGGCCCGCACGCCCTCGTAGGGCGAGGTACCTCGTCTTCTCACACAAGACAGGGCACCACCTCGGGCCCGAGGGGGTGAAGACTCTCGGCACCCCGGAAAGGGTGGGCCCCGGCCCTCCCGAGTCTCCTCAAACCAGCCTGAGGCGGCGCCGCTGGCCTCGCTTCCCATCTCTACATTGGTGCTGCGGTTTTGCCTTCCCCAGCCCCGGCCGCAGCAAGACCCTTCAGGCAGCGCAGCCCCGGCGCCGACCCCGCCGCAGGTCCCTACCTGTGCGGCTGTTGCCGACCCCACCGCAACTAGCAGCGTCCTCCGTTCCCATGGCGACAGCTGCTCGCCTACGTCAGCCTATCTCAACCGTTTTCGGCCCTCTCCCCCGCTTCTGATTGGCTCTAGCATCCCGTCCCGCTGCCCAATAGAAGCTGACCGAGGAAACGCTCCGCCTTCGCTGATAAGCGGATGAGGTCGTTGCGGGCGCTGGCGAACTACGACTCCCAGGATCCTCTGCGTGACCGGCTGAGGTTAGTGTCTGTCACGTGACTAGACGGGGTGGGGTAACGCGTCTCTCCCGCGAGGAGTTGCTTACCTCCCGCCTCAGGGGGCTCTGCCGGGCGGGATGAGGGCGCTGCCCCCGCGCTGGGCACCCCTGGCGCTACGGGCGGCGGGCAGGTGCTGTGGGCCGCCCGTCCCCCGCCGCGGTTGCAGCGGCTCCGCCGATGCCGGCGGCCGCAAACCCCTCCAGGAGTGGGCGCTGTCGGTGAGCCCGCGGGGTCGGCTGCGGGTGCGGCTGCCCTGCCAGGTGAGCGTCCGCCCGCTGGACCCGCAGCGCTACCCGGACGCGGACCGCGTGCTGGTGACTGTCAGCGGCGCCGGCGGCAGCCCCTCGCCCCGCGGCCGGGAGCAGGACCGCGTCCGGGTGGAGTACGACGAGGCGCTGGAGCAGATGGTGATAGTGGCGGACGGCCTGGACAGCAAGGCCGCCGTGGACGTGAGGACACCCGTGAAGTTCGGTGGGTGAAGCGGGGCTGGAGAAGCGGCTGTGCGCTTGGCTGCTGGGCCTCTCCTGCGGGTGTGGCGGCCCACAGAGCCCGGGGGCAGACGGAATCCCTCCGTCCCTCCCTCCGGTGGAAGCTGGAAGCCCTCTTGGCAGCGATATTCCTCAATGGCATCATGCCTTCTCCAAGCAAGGAGGTTCAAAACGTCCCTTTTTTTCGTGGGTTTCCTGACTTCTTAGGTGTTTAGGTATATAATTTATTGTTGACATTTTTGTCAGCAATTGTTAAAACTAAAACTTCTGCCATGAAGTAGTTACAACACACACTTACTTTTGCTCTGACATCTGCCGTTCAGGGGCTGTGCCCAGCAGGGTTGTTGGATCTGCCAGCTCTGGTAGTGGTTGTTAGGCTGAGTGATCAGCCACAGGGATCAAAAAAGCCTGAAAGGCAGCAATACAGATGAATTGGCAGGAAGGGCTGCCAATTGTCTAGTATAACTCTTGTGTTGTGTTTTTATGCACAGGGTAAAAATCTGTGTAGGGTTTCTGGTATGGGACCAATAAGCAAACTGGGGGAGCAGCTGTAGTACCTGAAACGAATGAACAACTGTGCTGGACTGATAGTGGCTCTTAAGTTTAGGGAAGGAAAAGGGCAAGCTTGCTAGGACAATGCCCTTCTGAGCAGAGCTTTAGGAAACACTTGACCCAGAGGTACTTGTGTTTACTCACTGATGTGGAAACAAACAAATGATGCTGGAAAAAGGAGATCCTCTGGCTTGCTTCATGTGGTTGTCCAAGACTGCTGCTTTTGTTTCATTTGATGCTCTGCTGCAGTTGTGATACGAGAAATGGAGACTAATCTCATTCTGCTCATGTTTCATCAGTGTTATCCATGACTTTTCTAGAGCATGGTGTTCTCTTGGTTACCACGTTTTCAAAGCTTTACACTGCAGACATTCTGCACCTGTCATCTTCACTTACTTTCCCCTCCCCTGTGTCTTAAATTATACTATGTAACCTTTTGGTTTGGTTTTGTCCACACACACCATCCCTCCCCAACACACATACACATAATTTGTCCAAGTGGTACAGTGGTAGAAACCACTAGCTGCCCCAGCTGATGCCTGCGGGAAGGGAGGGACACAGAATAAAGAAATGTCTGAGCCTTTGTACCCAGTGTACCGTCTGTGCACCCCTTGTTCATATGCTCTTCATGCACCTTGCGCACACTTCTTGGTAGAATGATGATCTTTGGTCTGGGGTCTTCTTGTTCTTTATTGGAGTTTTTCTCTGTCTCCAGACTGGTCTGTACCTGTTTCTTATCTGGATGGGGGTTGCGTCTTCTGCTGATAGTGGCTTCTTATCTTCCACTTTGTACTGGACTCAGGGCCTCCCTTCACCTAACCAAGCAAGAGAGGTTCTGTCATTTGGGGCTTGTGGCCTAAGGCTTCAGCAGTTTTACTCATGCTAAGCAAAGCTACTCAGACATACAGTTAAAAGAATTCAGCAAACTTAATTTACAGCACCATGCCTCCAGCTAGCCCACTGTCCTGTCTCCAGCCGACATAAACAGATGCTCAGGGAAGAGTAAGAACAGGACAAACATAAGTGATATTTCATCTTGGGTTTTTCTTGGCTGTCAGCTGTTTTCAGCTCATGGGATTTTCTGAGCCTGATACAGCTCAGCACCTCAGTGAATCTCTCTTCCTAGTGTACACTCAAGTAAACAGTTTCATGATGAGATCTTCCTGGCAAACTCCATGCCTCTTGGCAATTTGTTCCACAAGGCATATACCATCCATCCATTCAAGTATTCATTCAAGGATAGATACCACTCAGATGTTTTTGGTTTGATGAAACTGTGTAGGCTTTACCAACATAAAACCTTGTGAAGCCGGCCCTTAAGCCTCTGATGATAGGCACAAGTCCTGTTTGCCAGGTTTTGCACTTTTACATGCCTCAAAGCGTACCTTAACTTATATGTAAGAAACATATTGTTTGATTAACATCTCTGTCACATTATCTCTCTTGGAAGTCTTCAGTGAAGAGGCTAAGAAAACAGTTTATGCAAATAAAACACTTTCCAGAAAACCTGCTTATCCAGTCCACCTTTTCTAGCCCGCTTAGGGAATTGTTACCTATGAATACAGCCTGCATCCTTCTTTAAATTTAACCTCTTAGCTTACTGTGGTAATAAGGCTTCACTTTAGCAGCAAAAATGAATGTGTTTTAGCTCTGCCTCTTGGATTATCCTGGCTTGTCAGGTGGCAAAACTTCCCTTTGTTGTTAATTGGAGCTCTCAGTCTCTCATCTTCATGGTCTGCAAACTGCTGCTGTCAAGGTTCCAGCATCTGTCCTGAGCAGCTGTGTGACAGTATTGATCTCCAGCCTCCAATGTGTCATGGGACTGCCTTGGGGAATCTTGTTGGGTCAGAGGTTGTTATACGTACTCTGATTCTTCTCATATTTATGGTTGCATTGGCAGGTAGTGGAGGTGAAAGAAAGACTCACAGGTGCTTAAATGAAGGTTTCTTTGCCAGATAATCTCCTTTTCTTTAGAGAGTAACAGGCTCACTGTCTGTTAGTCCTTCAGTTACATGTCTTTCAGGAAACACTTTTCTTCTTTCTGCCTTTTATCCTTAGAAGAGCAAAACCACTTGTTTCCTCTCCTGCCTTCACTTTGTGCCAGTCATTATGGTGGTCATTACTATAAATGATTACTAATATAGTCAGAATTCCCAGACTGCACATTCTCAAACTTCTTCCTTGTTCTTTAAACTTAGGGGTGATCCCGAGTGGCAGAAAAATGCTTTTGCTTCTCCTGTGTGAAGCACTATGAGCCCATAAATTATTCACTCGGTGAGAGTTATCTACAGGACCTAGTGACTTGTTTTTGTGAGTGCCTATGAACAGTAATAAGGTAAGCTGATTCAGACTAGAGGCAAACATGCTTCTTCATACCAGGGGTAAGTCAGGCCTTCCAGAAGCCTAGGGAAGAATGACACATGCAAACACTTCTACACCTGGTTTTGTGTTAAACTGCTTGCTAGTTGAAGAAGCATAGGTCTAAAACCAGACCTATGTATTTGTGCTGTTGAATCTTATTACTCTGTGTGGCCTCAAAGGATTTGCCAACCTTTCCACCCCCAAACCCCATGTCAGGATATCCAACTGCCTCTGCAGAGTTGCTAATAAAATTGCTGGAGTTTGGGAGTAGGTGAATAAGTAAAAGAAGGACCACACCCTGCTGATTCCTTGCCAGAGGTTACAACCACTGTGCTGCCTGTTAATGTTTTCTCTTCAAGGTAGATGGCTATACACAGGCTTATAAAATTTTCAGTGTTGATTGTTGATTGTGACTAGTCATGCAATTGAAACTGTGTGGCCAAGCCTCACAAGAAGGTTCTTCAGTAACAAACTGCTACTTTCCCCTACTATTTATAGTTACTATATAAAATGATCAAGTACTACTTAAATAGATCTGGTTATTCTCATTCTGTTGCTAATAAAACTCTTTTAATTCTAGATTTGGATATCAAAACATCAGGGACTGGCTGCGTGAAGATTCAGAAACTAGAATGTGATAACTGCAAAATAGAAACAGAGAAGGGGACTAGTGTCCTGCAGTCAATAAAGGTACAAAGAACCCTCCCGCACTCCACCAGTGCTTTAAAAGGGATCATGGGTGGAATATAGTACATAAACTTAAATACCAGTTCTGGAAATAAGTACTCTGATATTTCTCAGTGTTACTATGTGTATAGCACCTCACCTTTATTTATTGCATACGATTACAACACGAAGTTACTAACACAAAATAATGCGCCGTCAGAAGTTCAGATACCATTGGTGATAGCCAAAGCCAGCAGAAACAGTGACAGCAGTAAGCCTAATCTTTGTCCCCCTGCCCCTCAACAAAAAAGGAAGACAGACTGGGATTTCCTGTCTAGTTGCATACTTTGCAGTATGTGTTTTATTTTTTGTGTGTGTTTGGTTTGGGTTTTCTTTTTAATAATTCTGATATGTAAGTGCTATTAACAAACCCTAGGTTAATTTTCAATCAGAAGTTATACATTCTGTCCAAAATACCTGACTGGATTACATCTGATAAATACTGTACATATCATGGTCATGACCTTGTTTTTTCAATCTTTAAGACCTAAGCTTTGCTGACATAGGCTTTTGTAGGAATAATCAAAGTATATGACTGAGGTGCTGTTTGGAATGAAATTTACTTTAATAATTAGGATTGTACTTGCAGGAGCAGGTATAAACTAAAGAAAAAAAAAAGCTTTTCGAATAGTATAGTTCCTAAGTTTAATTTATTTTTTGAGATATGAAAAATCTTTCCACATTTTCTTTGCCATGGTGTAAGAGATGATTTTATAGCATGCATATGCGAAACTGAATTTAAAGGGAGATTTAATATATGAAAAAGCTAGGTTTACTCCATCTTCAGTGAACTACAAATAACTTGAATCTTCCAGATTTTGTGTAACTGACCATTTTACTCTTAAAAAGGTAACTGAAATCTAACAAGAAGTTAATAGTACTATATGTGTTACTTCTGTCTAAAGCTGGTTAAAAATGGCTCTGTTATATAATAATAGCAAACAGCGGTACCTGAGAAACTACATAGTATGAGAAAACAAGGTAGTTTTGGCCAGTAATAGTCACAGCATGCCATCACAATTGTCAAGATTTTTTACTTTTTTTTTTTTATGATGTCATGGAAAAAGAGGATTTTGAGGAATGACAACTAATTTTGTGGGCATCTTTTCTCATAAACAGTGTGAGGTGTGAAAAATGTTGAGTTATAAAAATGAAAAAGTTCTATTTTCCTTGAGACTACAAATAGCAATAAAACAGTAAACTGAAAAGAAGCCAGCAAAGTTACCAGTTTGGGGCTTTTGAGATCAATTCCTCTGTAGTACTCCACTAGAGGAGCTTGGTGTTGTTTTTTTACCTCTATCAATTTTGAGCCTTCCTCAGTTCGCAAAAATTACAAGTGTAAAAGACGATCCTTCCCCTGTGCATGCACCTCAGTGTGTCCACTTTACTGGTGATCACGGAAGGTTTCTTTGTTCCCTTCAGCCTCAGATGACAGGAATGGCCTGGTCCCAGAAAGCAAAACAAAGCTTTCATAGATTAGAAGGCTTTGGCTTTTTTAACATGAATAGTTACCCTGAATATTCTTTTAGGTTAGGAGTATTACAGTATCTCTCAGCCATACAACCAACTTTTAGTCTAATGTTATTAAGTACTATCGTTCTAGTAAAGCAACTGTAACTCATTTCTTCTAAGATAGGTTCAAGAATTATACTCTGTATTATCAGAGAAGCAGAATTATTAACCCTTGGTTTGTTTTTTTTTGTTTGTTTGTTTTTTTTTTTTTTCCCAAAGCTGCTGAAAATCTTACTGACTAGATTCCATAATGCAGCACAAAAGCTTATTTTTCCTTAGGGAATGTGCTTACTGAGTAAACTGAAGTGATACTGCCCTCCGCTGGATGCGTTGAAGAGCTGTTTAATGTTGCTTTGCTGTCATGTTGTCCACAAACCTCATTGACTAGCAAAGCAGGAGACTTCACTGTGGAGAGCAATAGGTCGTAGATCAGTGACTTGAATAGTCCCCACATGACCAGGTTTTTTTATTTAAAGAACACCAGCAAACAGCTTCACAGCTGCTGATTTTTTTTCACCTTGCCACAGACAGTTTTTTCTGTAACTTGTAATTAAAAAATTGAGTTTTGGGTATGGTGTCCTTACAAAAGACCTAAAAAATTGACATCCACTTTCCTTAATCATGCATGCTAGCAATAGAACGGGAAAGATGAATATTCTGTATGAGTTTTTTAATGGCTTTTGGCTGGTACTTTTGGTGTGATAGGCATTTATCTAGCCAGTGAGATTTGTTGAGGGTTGTTCTATTGAGTTGTTTTTTTTTTGGTGGTGCTTGTTCTGTAATTGGCTAAAGCCCTGTTTACCCTATCCTTTCCCACGTCTGCAGGTCAACTGATTTCAAAATAGGACTAGAATTTCTAGGTCTTCTTCAGAGTATTGGTTATTCCCAAATTCTTTTTTGAGAAAGCAGTGCTGCTGTTTCTTAATTTTTAATCCTGCTTTTTATTACAGTCCATCAGCTTAGCAGTGACATTGGGACCAAGGAGATCCTTGTATTTTGTTTCTATGTTCAGTGATTAATTCCAGCTTCCTGACTGTGTCAGTGATGACAAGAATTCCAGGTGTCTTCCACACAATCAGTGGAAGACCTGCAATGCTTCCTCACCAGACACCATGTCTGAGCATGATTTGTTAAAGTCCTGTACCACCGTCCTTTCTTTCTTTGAACTGAACACATTATTCTGTTTTTCTTTTAACATCTTTGACTTCCTTGGCAGCCTTTTACCTCTTCCTTACTCAGACCTTTTCATGTTGTTAGGAGAAGCCCTGTGACAGTTTAGTGTTCCTTACTTTCAGTGAGTGGAATATTCACTTTTAATGAAAAAGCTATTTGATCATTATAACTTGCTTCCTCTCAGCAAATCCTGCTGTCTGTTAGGTGTCTTGATGCCTACCTCTGAAAGCTTGTGAAGTTCATGGTTTTGTTTTGGGGTTTATTTTTGTGTGTGTGTTTTGGGTTGGTTTGTGGGTTGTTTTTGTTTTTTTTAAGAGACATGGATAGTCTAATAATTCATGGGGAAGGGAAATTGAGACAGCTGTATCTTATCAAAACTTTTTTGTCCCAAAAACTATATAGAAAAAAATCCTTTTTTTAAAAAAAAAGGAAAGAAAAATTGAGGAAATAAGTTTGCATGTCATGGTTTTATTTTGCTTAACTATCAGTGGCTATACTGGTAAGTCACTGCTCTGCATTTATTCTTCTTATCTTATGAATTCCCATATTTTCCTGGTGTTATGTGCTTGGAGGATTTGTTCTTTAACCATTGTTATGATAATGTGCCAGATGAAACTGCCTTGAAAGAACTGTGCTGTCTGACTGAGGCACCTAATTTAACTTTATCCTTTTTTACTCTATATGGAGAGAATCATTTATTATTTGTACAGAAGCTTAACTACACAGCTGAGTTATTTGCAACCTTTAAAAGGTCTGAAGCACTGCTGAAGTCTAGTTAGGGCATTGCATTTTACTCTGAAGACCTGTTTGGATTGTGAAAACCTTGAGATTGTAATGCAGATGTATGCAACATACCTAATTTGAATTAGTATCTGGAATGAAACACCAGGATCTGGTTCTAATTGCAGGCTTAGGGTTTGCACTAGTATGCACACATAGAGGTTTATGGCTTTGCATACTACTCCAAGCATAAGTAGTTTTACAGTATGTTTGTATATCATTGTCCTATAGAGTTCTGTGAAACTGTAAGTTTCAAGTCAATGGAAGACTTCAGTTTGTAAGTTCAGTTCTCACTGCCAGCTTGTTTCTCCTGTGCTTCAGCCCGGGGTATATACATACCTTGGTTTCTGGATGGAGCATAAATGAAAAACAAAGCTTTCCCTTTTGTTGCCTGCTGCCTTATATACTGAGTGAATGTTTTTCTAGTTATAAAAACCCAAACCAACCCCCCAGAAAAAACACTTGTATTGAGAGTAAAAGGTTCCTCAGCATCCTTCTTTCCCTTGTGTTTCTGGTTATAAAGAAAGGTGATTGGTTTTCAGTTCAACTACATTGGAAATAATCAAACACATTTGGTGATAACTTAAGGGAAAGCTTCACAGTAAAATGGAGTTTGTGATCCAAGGTGGTTATTGTGGTACAGCTTGAAAACCAAGATAACCAAGATAGATTCTTGTTATGATTATCCTAACCATAGGCTTTTTGAACTTTTTTTCCAGAGCCATAAAATAGATATACGGACAAACGGTGGCAAAGTAATTGGTCTTGGAACACTTCATGGAAATACAGATATTCATGCAACAGAGAAGGGTGTAAGTAAGATGGAAAACTCTCTTTGGCTTATTGAGCTTGTCTGCATAATGACTAAATTTTGAAGAATGTGCTGAAGGATGTGTAAATGACCCTCTCTGATTGTCATTTCACTGTTAACTGACAGTTGTCTAATTATACTATATTATTTTATGCTTAATTTGGAGTAGTGAACAGGCTGCACAGAAGGAGCAGTAAGAAGCATGTGATCATTCCATCAGCACAAAGGCATTGCTAGCTGATACAGCTCATTAGCTTTAATTCTGTAGACCCTCACAACACTCTTAAACATTTTATGTGGCTGATATCTAGACATCTGGATTCTGCAGTAGGCCCATTAATTTATTTTGGTGTCTCATTAATAGTGGCTCAATATTTGTCCATGCTGTACACTTCCAGCATTATATGATTGTAAGAACGGGAGAGTAGAAGGTTTTGTATATTTCTCTGTAGTTGAGGAAATAAAATCACATGTAATCTTGTTACGAGGTGCAGTGAGAGGAACGGGAAAAGTTTTGTAGAGAAGTAGCTGGCTTTTTTCAGCAGATGGCAGTATGAGACAAACCTCAGACTACTCTAATCTCATTTTGCTTCTTGGGACAAATAGTCAATTCTCCATTATTTAAAATGATGTAGAACTGGGCTCCCTTACATAATACTACAGTTCTCATATCCAGTCTGGTTTTTAGGCTCAACATGAATGTTTAAGCATTGTAATGTTCATGCAACTGGTTGCATCAGGATTCATTACATCTGAACCAGTATTATATGAATGAGTGGAGCCAAGCCAAGTCTAGAAGTAGCTTAGATGCATGCAGTACTCTCTCAGAATCAATAGGTACTCTTAAACCCAGCAGCCCTGGGAAGAATTGGAAAGAATGCAGGTAGCTTTCCCTAGCCAAGGATAGAATTGAGACCAAGCTATTAAGTTCTAGGAATCCAAAATGGCCTCTGTGAAGTGCTGTTTTGGCACTGCTGTATGTAGATTGTTTTCTGAGATCATATGTTCTGAGATCATATGACATAGAGCCAGCTGTGAGCTGTTCTTAAGGTCCTGCTGTAGACTAAGCAACTTGCCATTGGATTTTCCAAGAACTGTTAACGTTTAATTACCTGCATTTTTGTAGTGGGTGCTAGCCTGTTTTTTATGTACAAAAGAGCTAGAGACTGTTGTAGCTGTACTGTCGTTGGGGGTTGTAAAGCCTGGAGAAAAGGAGGCTCAGGGAGAGACCTCATTGCTCTCTACAACAGTCTGAAAGGAGGTTGTAGTGAGAATGGTGTCTATCTGTTTTTCCTATGTAGTAAGTGATAGGATGAGAGGAAATCGCCTCAGGTTGTGCTAGGAAAGGTTTAGACTGGATGTTAGGAATTCTTCATCTAGAAGGTTGTCTAGCATTGGAACAGGCTGCCTAGGGAAGTGATTGAGTCACCATCCCTGAAGGTATTTGAAAGACTTGTAGATGTGGTACTCAAGGAGATGGTTTAGTGTTGGGTTAATGGTTGGACTTAATGGTCTTAATCATTTAGGCTGGAAAAGACCATTCTATAATTAATACATTTTCATGAACATTGTTGCATCCCAGCAAGACCTCCCACCGTAAAGCAGAGTGGGTAAGGCCTGACTGTGGTATGATGATGCTGTAATTGGATTAATCAGTTCTAATTCATTGGCAGTTCCGTTGGTACTATTAGCAGTTAGTGGAGTTAGGGTCTGTCCTAGGTCGCTAACAGCCACAAGGAGTAGAATAGGGCAGAGGTAGTCTACACCGTTCTGGATGTATCCTTCATCTTCGCAGAAAGGGTTTCTGTTGGAAGGATTTGTAACCTGGAATCCTTGCTTTCTACCAGTGAATAAGACTGAATGATTCCTGTGGAGTCATGCTGCTCACACATACTGGCATGGTAGTGGTCTTTAGAGTTGTGCTGTTAATCATTTGTCCCAAAGTAGTTTGTTACTCCAGTGCAGTGCATAGCGTTCATTTCAAATAGCATCTCACTGGAGTTGATAAAAACAAGTGGATGGTAGAAAAATAATTAGATCTTCATTTACATGAAAATATCACATGAAAATGAGAAATATAGTTATTTTGCTCTGAGTCTTTAAAAGCTGTTGTTCTTTTGAAACAATAAAACAAACTTCATGCAGGTTGAGTTGAGGTGCTTCTTTGTGGTCATAAGTACAAATATTGCTAGAATTCACTGTTAGAGTTGTAAAGTTGTAGTAACTTCAGTGAAATAAATCATTTTAACAGGAATTTACAGCGTTGGAGCAATCTTTTGGCTTATGTTGTTCAACTTCCTAACAACAAACTTTGCTGTATAGTTAGGCAGAAGAGTGTAAGATTTCTTTTCTCAATTGACCATTTCTGTTAACAGTCAGTCAACCTTACATCTCCTGTGTGTGTTTGTATGAGATGTTTCTCCCACCAGTTGTAGTCATCATTATGTAATTATGGCTCTGTCAGCATTTCCAGCCCCCTACTGAAGGTGGGGAGGGAAAGGATGTGGTAAAAGACACTAAGCACTTGGGAAACAGAATATTTTTAAGGGAGAAAATGGAGAAGGCACTAGTAAAATATCCAAGCAAGGATAGCACAAAAAGGAAGGCCAAGAAGAGGAATATGTGGGGAAGGTGATGTTTATGTCTTAGTTGTGTTCAGGTGCAAACCCAAATATTCTCTGTCTGATTTATGAAGATAGACTGACACTTTAAAGGGTAAGAAACTGGAACTTTAGCATGTGGTCAGTCCAGTAACTACAATCTCCCAAGGCTCTGCTCTCAAGGGGAGGAATTTTTCCAGAAAACCTAGTGGTTCAGTGGACAAAAATAATTAAATTTGTTTGACTGGGGAATCATTAGCTAATCTGTGCCACAGGGACTTCTCTATAGTGCTTATTTAACAGAGCCAAACAGCTATGTTCTGCCAAAAATTCATAAAAGTTTAAGAATTTGGGATTGAAAACATAGTCTCAGTAAAAAGTAATCCCTTTTTTTTTTTTTTTTACACTTTTCCTATCTATGATACTTTTTTAGTTTTATACTTGAGCAGTCCACCTTCCCTACCTTATTTCAGTTATTCTGAAACAAATCTTCATTGTATTGGTAGTTGGTTTTGCTTTATTTTTTTATAGTATGTATGTAAATTATTGTAAGTTAATGTGTCTTGTTACATTCTTGGAGACCTACTTGGTGGTGTAATATCAACTTTTCCTGTAATTTCTTTACTAATCAATTTTCTTTACTGTAAGGATGGTGAGGCAGTGGAATGGGCTTTCCCAGGGTAGCTGTGAATGTTCCGTCTCTGGCAATGTTCAAAGCTGGATTGGACAGAGCCTTGGGTGACATGGTTTAATGTGAGGTGTCCCTGCCCATGGCAGATAGATGATCTTAAAGTCCTTTCCAACCCAAACTATTCTATGATCAAGTCTTGAGATAGTAGTCCAATCAGTATTCTTATGTGAGAAGATGGTGTAAAGCTCAGTATGCCTGGATTGGTATGGTCACAGTGTAATTTGGCTGACATACAGAACATACTAAACCAGCCTTTTTAGCTCGCATTTTGGGGCACAGTACAGCATGGATTTTATGAAACACTAGTTGCTGTTTGTCAGAATACTGCATACTTCATCCATAGCTTATTCTTTATATAATAAAACACCGGAAGGGTCTGCAGACTTTTGTGTCGACTATTTGCCACAAGATGACAATGCTGAAATGAAGTGGATTGAAAGTGTTAAGTATGAACTCTTGAATGACTGCATCATAAATCACATTTAAATGGGGAATAATAGAATTAAATTCATAAGGTAGTTGCATAATCTTGTAAGTTCCTCTGGTTTGTTCAGATAGGTTGTCACATGACTGGTTACTGGCAGACAGATGAAAGCGTAGAATCATAGAATGGTTTCGGTTGGCAAGGACCTTAAGATCATCTAGCTCCAACCCCTGTGTCATGGGCAGGGATGCGTCGCACTAGACCATGTCACGCAAGGCTCTATCTAACCTGGCCTTGAACACTGCCAGGGACGGAGCATTTGCCACTTCTTTGGGCAACCTGTTCAAGTGCCTCACCACTCTCACAGTAAACAACTTCTTCCTTATATCTAACCTGACCTTCCCCTGTTTTACTTTAAACCCATTACACCATGTCCTGTCGTTACAATTCCTGAGAGTCCCTCTCCAGCATCCTTGTAGGCCCCCTTCAGATACTGGAAGGCTGCTATGAGGTCTCGATGCATTTATCACCTTTTATTTCCCAAATGTGTCCATAATGCAACTTTTCAAATCTTATCCTTCATCTCCATTTCTATTAAAAAGAAGTCAAAATGGATATCTATCCCTCATTTTCAAGGCTTTTATAGCTTACGGCTTAAGTCTAAGAATAGAGGCCTGAGTAACTGAGCTAATATGAACAACTATACTGAGGAAAAGTGCAGCTATGGCTTTTTTTGCAAACCTTCACCAAAGCTATATCTACAAAGTGACCCAGTTAAAAGTCTGTGTAAATAGCTGTATGTAATAACAAAGACAGTGGATGTTTTGGTATGTGGCAACAGAAAACTGATTATCAAAGCTTTAAGAATCATAATGCTGCATTAATGTTATGTCTTCATTATTACAGCTAATCTGTTTGTTTACTTCTAAAAATGAAGTGTTGTTTCTTAAAAACAGATCATTTTGTGACTGTTCGGGTTCTTCGCCTGTATGACTTATGCAGTAATTCATTGAAATGTTGTAATGAATCATTGACTTTCTGGTCAGAGCTCTTGGATGTAAAGGTTTTTTGTTTTGTCTTGTGTAGCTTTTAACTAAGAACTTGACTCTGTTCTGAACCAACAACTGCTTTCCATTTGTTTTGCCTCTAATACTATTACTTCCCTATGCATTTTCAAACTGTGATGACAAGTTTTCCATTATGTTTATTTATTTCTCTTAGAGCGTGAATATAGAGAAGCTGCAGGGGACATCCATCAACATATCTACTGAAGATGGGCTGCTGAAAACTAAGTATCTCTATGCAGAATCATCATGTCTGTCTTCAGTAGCTGGTGATATTCTGCTGGGAAGTATTCATGGTAAGAAGAAAATACTGAGCAAATTTGTCTGCTTTGAAGGTGTTCATAATGTTCACCGTAACAAATGGGCTAATGCTATAGGCTATTACTAGATCAACTGTGCGCAGTGTATGAACAAAACGGTTCGGTCTGTTAGAGACCAAATTGAAGATAATTAACTTTATCTATAGTATGCTGCATTTATTTTTTTAAACAATTTTGTAAAAATACTATGAAATAGCAAAAAGTGTATTTTGTAGGAGAGGAACATCATGCATACTAAGGATGTAAAACTATTTTAAAGTTCAGCAATAAAAATTATACTTAGTAAAGAGGCTTCTCTTCCCTTCTCTCCATCCTTTATTTTCTTCATAGAAGAAATAGCTGTTACTGCATCTGCTAAGAACTAACTGGTAGAACTTGGTTGTATTTAGTTTTTAGCAGAAATAGTCTGTCTCTGCTTGCACACTATACTAATAAAGTGGTGACAGTTTCTGTTCTGTGATGGGGAGTGGGAGGAAAGTCTCTAATCTATCCACCCTTTTATGTCCTTCACCTAGAACTAAAACTAACTTGATAATCTTCTATTTAAACAGCACTCAAAGTTAGAACCTGGTGTGGTTTTCTAATTTAACAAAGTTCCCACTGAATTCTGCCTGTGCTGTAGCGTGGGTTTGATGATTTAACATTAAGTAAAACAAACCGGGGGATGAACAAAGAGTGAAAATTACTCAGGTCAGTCAGAGTTCCAGATTTCCAACTGTATGCCTTAGAAACAATTTGCTCCAATTCTGTAGCAGTTTTGTGGTGTCATCTTGCTTGAGAAATGACTCTTCCTTAAAGGAGCAAGCAAGTCCTTTGTCTGTTTATAGTAAATTGAAGAATTGTTTCTAAACCTGTTAGGTAAAGTTCACTTCAGCATGCATAGGTAGAAATAACTTTTTTCATGTTATTGTATTTTTTTAACATGTAGTCTGTATTGTTACGTGTACTTCTGTCTCAGCTGTTTTGATTTGGTTTTTATAACTTCGAACCCATATAATGATGTTGCGGGCTGATCAGTGTGTGGGCATGTTCATGCCTCTGTGCACAGCTTATTTTGACAAAAATGATGTAACTGCTGTAGTCGGTGACTTCCTTAGTAATGCCTCATTGTCATCTGGCTGAAGAACAATATGAAGACAAATAGAATTGTGTCCAAATTACACAGACGTTTCTTATGTCACTTCAGGATTATTTTTATGAGCTCTCTATGAAATGGGTCTGGAACACCTAATGTTATTTTAGCTGTTTCTTTTCAAAACAATTGCAAACTAACATTAGCTTGGCTCTTCTATTTTTCCAGAAAAAAAATTCCTGCAAAACATCATGCTCCTCCGTCATGTTTTAATAGTAAGAGCAAATACCTTTAAAGTATTTAAAATTATTATATTACATATATATCTGCACACAAATGCATAAATACTGCTGGAAAAGATAAACTCCTTTCGTAATTTTATGTTAGAAAACAAGTGGCCACTTCTGGTTTTTGCTCATGAGGTAGTGTCGTTTGGTTTGTAAATACCTGGAAAGATAGTTTCTTGGGCTGTTAAGTCCACTGTTTCCTTATTGCTGACAGGATGCTGGTACTATAGTTGGCAGTAGTATGCTTCTCAATACCCTTCTCTGACCTCACCTCAGTACCTCAGTGTCTTTTTTGACTGGGAAGACCCAAATTGGACACAATGCTCCAAATGCAATCTCATAAGAGAATTTTACGTGCTGGATATGCTTATCATACAGATAGTGGTTCATGCAGAAGCTGGTGTACATCACAATGCCCAGGTCCTTACCTGCAAAGCTTCTTTGCAAACAGCAAGTACTCAGCTTTCACTGCCTTACAGGGTTGTTTTGTCTCACGTGCGGGACTTTGTTTGCTTTTGATCTGTTCTTCTGTCATAGTGTAGTAACTATTTCAATATAAGAGAATCACACTGGAAAACATAGTTACTGAAGTTACTTTATATATTTACACACTAATTAATATATAGGAAAAGGTAACCATATAGCTGCCTTATAGTGACCTGCATAAGACGAAACAGAAAATGTGCAATGTTTTGAAGGTAGTATGGTATAATGCTTCAGCTTGGCATTCCATAATCCCTTCTGAATCCCTTCTGAAAAGAATCCAATATACCAAAGCATGTTCCATGAATTTCAGCTATGTTTCTGGATTTCAGTGATTGTGGGATTGTAGAAATTAATTTCATTCCTTTTTAGGCATGACTGTACTTCTGCCTGAAATTTAAAATGCAAAGTCAAAGTGATAAAAAGCTGTGTGGTGGTTTGTTTGTTTCTTCTGTGCATCAGAACCATGCCACCTTGAGAGCCTTCAAAACAAATTGAAAGAATGGAAATAATACAATGTAAAATGATGCCTTTATTTATATCCCAAAAGCCATGTTTTGCCCCAGTCCTATACTGATCCTGTCTTCCAGTAGTTTGAAGTAGTTTGAAGTTTTATAGTCTTTATGGAGAAGCTTATACATGATAGAAAAGATAACTGTTTCTTCGGAAGCAATCCAAGAACCAAGCTTCTGTCATCAATATTCTGTTAAAACTATTATATTTTGGACTTTATAGTATTGCACTACAGTGCTGAAGTCAGTTGAATATAAGAATCAAACTAGTAATTACCTCTGGTCAGCTCTTGCTCTTTGTCCTTGATATGACAAAAAAAAATGCTTGGCTAGCTTAAAAATTGTAAGTTAAGCATTGGCCTTTATGGGACCACTGCATGACCAAAAGAACACTTCTGCGCACTGTCATAACACATCAGGACATTCTTACCTGCTTTAAACCCAACATTTTTTAGCTAAATATTGGAAGTGAGCCTATCACACTAATATGTTTACAATTTGCGGCATTAGTTGTATCTGCCATATAAATTTATGGTTAATAGGAGTTTGATTTCAACATGTTTTAATATTTTTCAAGGACCTGCTTATTAAAACAGAAAGCAAAAAAACCCCAGAAAAACAGAGAGCAAACCAGAAATCCCCAAGTCCCAGGGGCTATATGCAGGCAGAGTGTATTCAAGCTTCAGCTCCATGGAAGCTGCTAGCTGACAAAACCAGAGTCTTTTTTGTATCTTGTACAAAAATAAGTACTAGTCATGATAATATGGGGAAAGGGGTGGGGTAATTATAGTGTGTCTCTTAATAGCAGCAAATGGTAAAGCCAAACATCTTTCAGGTTTATTGAAATACGGTTTTGTTTCAACTGATTTTTCAGAACCCTTAAGTATTTTGTACAGTGTGTGCTTGAAATGATGAATTGAAGACTATTGATAATAGGCTGCTTTTCTAGCTTTCAGGCCACAGACCACTAAGAAAAGCACTTCAGGTCACAGGCAGTGGAATGCATCTTACCCTAATGGTTGTTTGCCACTCTGTAATTACAGAAGATAGGAGCAAAGCTTGATCCACATGCCGTTTTTAAAGTCCAGTTCTGAAAGATCTGAAAATTGCTGTGAATAATGTGTATTACTAACTTGGACTCAGTTACTATTATCAACCTTTTATTTTGCAATCTGTTCTCCTGGGAGGATGAGAGTGTGGCAGGAATGACATGTTGTGGTTTAGTTTTTAAAATTAAAGCATTTGTTGAGGCAATTTTTTTTTCTGCATTTTTTTTCTTGTGCTGTAGACCACTGATTTCTTTGCCTATTTTTAAAGTCCATTTTGTCTACGACTCAGTGATAGCCATTTGCATAGACAGGTATAACATTAGAAAATCATTTATATTCATAGAAAATGGAAGACATCTGTCCATGGTCACTAGCTGTATCCTTTTACTGGGAAAAAGTAATGGTTGTAATGGGTGACATGGTTTCGTGTGAGGTGTCTCTGCCCATGGCAGGGGAGTTGCAGCTAGATGATCTTAAGGTCCTTTCCAACCCTGACTGTTCTATGATTCAATCATATATGTGTAGCATACACTTGGCACTATGGAAGTTACTACAAACTTTGTTAGTAGGTATAGATGGATTTTCTGTTATGAGGTACATCTGTCAGCCTTCCAGATTCTCTTGGTTCCACAGGTAAAGGGGAAGACTATTCATCTTGAGATTTTTGAGGCTAAAATACCAGTGCCTGTTCAGGGTAATGCAAGTTCATTGGGAGACCATTTTGCATTATGCATGACTCACTTTTGTTCTCCAGTTTCTCCAGTGCACTCAGATCTCACTAAAGTCAGTGAAAAGCATTGACAAGAGATCATCATGCACATGAGAATAAGTTTGGAGAGAGTAGGTAAAGTTCAGTAAGTCCAGGAATCAGCCTTTGCAGAAAAAGAAAGGAAAACAACCAGCCAACCCATCCTCAGAGCAGGGCAGGGGGAGTATACATGTGCCTATATCCATAGACACACATATTTGTCTGTGTATATGTCTGTGTCTTATGTATCTGTCTCTATATATATAAAAAGGGAAAATAGGGACTGTTTATGTTACTAATCCTGTTGAGCTGCTTAAATCATAGTGCTGTTGCAGGCATCGGAGAAACACACAAAAATTTGGCCCAAAATGAAAAAAGAAAATACCATGCTTTAGCCTCACGATGCATTTCTGCTTTTCTCTCTCTCACATCCAGTCTCTCACATCTTAAAGTCTGTGTCTTTAAGCTTTATTCAGTGTTTTTCTCATCTGGAATCAATTCGTTGTTACGCACATGTGTTGAGATTTTTGTTTGTAAAGCCATAATATTCAAGCAACATATCTGGTTTGTGCTATTTTGCTTCTATATGCAAATGAGAGATACTGCTACAACTGCAATGCCCTTGAATAGGTCCACATTACTTTAGCCTTTGTTACAGTTTTAGAAAGAAGTTAAATATGCTTTTAATGTTCTTTCCTTCTCTTCTTAATAGGTAACAACAGCCTTCAGACCAAAACTGGGAGTATCACAGTAGGTAGGTCCTACCTTCTCTTAGAAATACCTCTTTTTCTCCTTCTTTCCTTCTCCTTTCTAAAAGCCAGATGTTCACAGGGAAAGTAAAGAGGTAATTCCTCACAGATGTCTGCCCTATTTTCAGTAGCACTGATAGCTGTGTAGCTGAAGGAGATTCTTTCCAAACTTCACTGTCAGCCTTTTGCAGTTGGGCAACTCAGACTGTCTCATGTTTGATACCACGGTACTTACTGGGCTTTGCGCAAGTCACACTGAACTAGGTGCCATCTTCTATATTAAGATGTGATAAAAAGACACAAGAAAACAGTAACTAAAAGGACAAGAAATGCAATCATTTTGCCTTTAGCCTAGTTCTCTTACGTTTGTTGATATCGATAACTAGCTGTGTTTAATTTTTATATTGCAAAGCACTGATCATTGATGTGTTATGTATTTGAGGAGGGGAAGCTTGTGATTAGTAATAGTCTCCACACTATTCTGCTGATCTTTGTTTTCCCTTTAGAAATAAAAATGGCTCATAAATTTTCTTTCAGGAACTTGAATAGGATATACAACAGGATAACTAGGAGTTATCAATTATGGTACATATTATATCACTTGCATTTTTGTAGTACCTCAACACAAAAGTAAAACCCTCAAATTATGGTTATTTCTATGACAGAAAATTGAAGTAACAATCATAGACAAGACTCAGTGACTCCTGAATATACGTAGAAGGATTTCCTGTTCTGTAAATAAATTGATTATGGGCCCAAATCTCAAAGACTTCTGCTAATGGTAGTAACTATAGTCACTCATTAAGCATTGTTCAGGGACAATCTGTACTGTTACAGCTCTTCTTATGTTTCTGAGCAATCTATATTAACTTTCCTGGAAAATGAATGCAATACACATTCTTCTGAGTTAGTCATTAAACCACAGAATTAAATTAAGCTTGCTAGTCTGTTTTTCTTTCTTTTAAATAAACTCAGAGTATGAAGAGTGTTTAAATAAAGGTTTCTTACCACAGGAGATAGCTTTTCCCATCAACTAGATGATAATAATTTTCTTTAATTAACCAGGTTCCACTTAAACGTTAAAACACATCTTAGATTTGAATAAATTTCAGTTTCAGTACTGAAAGCACTAGTTAGACTTAATCTTTTCCTGAAGAGCATTAAACATACCTTAGATTTTTATGGCTTTTTCCAAAGGTAAAAGACTTCTAACATTCACTAGTTCAACTCTAAACTTCAAAAAGAAAATTTAAAATTTGAAGTGGAAGGTTTTTTGTGTATGACAAGCACATGCTACAAGGTAGCTTGTTGGATTGTCAGGAGACCTGACAGGGACATTTTGGATAGAAATAGGAATTGTTTTCATGAGAATCTTCCAACTTCCTTGGCTGGGTTTTCATAGGGATGTAGTTATTTACTTCACTGGAGATAGAATTTTATCAGTTTACAGAAAACATCAGTTTGAGGATGTATCATCTCTAAATTTTGGGGATGTATCCTTTGCTTTTGAAAGATTTATTTACAAGTCAAACTTGAGAGTGATGGATATTTTTTTTCTTCAAAATGTTTTGGGGAAAATACAAGCTGCTGGCATAACAGTTTCTTATTCTTGTATAATTCTGCATTTAAAAAAGAAAACAGTGTTCTCTAATCTTCTGCTTTTGTTATTATTCATAGAATATTTTTATTTCTTTTATTTTGGTGTTATTAGTCACTGACATTGTTTTCCAACCCTGTATTAGAAGCTTCCTACTTGTATCAGATGTTCTATGGACTTTGAATGACTTCACAGTTTGAAACAACCAGAGCTATTTTTACTTCTAGTTTAAGTTGTGATTGCTCCATCCCTGGCAGCATTGAAGGTGCCAGGTTGGACAGAGTCTTGGGTGAAACAGTTTGGTGTGTGGTATCCCAGCCCATGGCTAGGGGGATTGGAACTAGATGATCTCCTGGTACTTTCTAACCAAATCATTCTATGATTCTAAGTTGCTGTTTAAACTAGTCATTATAAATCTGAATTATCTTACAAAGAGTAACTGAGTACTTCATATTTAGAACTATCTTAATCTTTTAACTTTTTATTCAGTAAATTCATAGGAAAACTCAGAGACCTCAGGAAGTTGCAGAAACGTAGAATGCTTGAGGTTGGAACGGACTTCCAGAGGTCATCTTGTTCAGCTCCCTTAAGCAGTCTCTGATCCCCAGCCTCTTGCTCAAAGCCATGTGAGCTGTGAGGTTGCTCAGGGCTTTATCCCATGGTTTGGAAAACCTCCAAGAATGGAGACTGTACAGCCACTCTGACAAACTGCTTGGCTGTCCTCAGGGTTGAAAAGATTATTCCTTCTACCCGCTCTCTTTTTTTTGATACATTTTTGGTCTGTCATGCTCTCATCATGCGCCACTCTGAGGAGTCTGGCTTTGTCTTCTTGATCACTTCCTTGCAGATACCAGGGGGCTGCTGTCAGGTCCTGAAGCAGTCTGTTCTCCAGGCTGGGCAAGCCCTTCCCCATCAGGAGAGGCTGAGAAGTGGGGTGTTCCATAGCCTGCCTATGTTGGTGCTTCTCTGCTGGATTCACTCCAGTTTATTGATGTCTACCCTCTTTTGGGAGCCCCAACACTGGATGCTGTGTTCTAGGTGTAGTGTAATAAGTGCCGAGTACAGCAGCCTAATCCCTCCCCTTAATAACTGGCCATGCTTCAGTTAATACTGCCAAGGATACTGTTTGACTTCCTTTGTGCCAGGGCACACTGCTGGCTCATGTTCAGTCCTGATAGAGTTTGCTTATTTCTCAATGTTATTCGTATGGTCTAATGTATTCTCTACTTTGCTGCCAAGACAAATTTTTCCCCTACCAGCTCCAAACCCCATGGCTTTTCCTTACTGGATTATTTACATTTATTTTATTTATTTATTTTATTCTAGAAATGAAGCTTCTGTAGTCAGAAATTATGGAGCTTATGGTGGTTGTTTTGGAGGGGAAGAAACAATCGTAACCAGTTTATGGGCAGCAGGGACATATTCTGGCAAGGAAAAAGTAGAGACATACAGCTAATTGATTTGCAGAGATGGTTAACACAGAATGTGGGTATCTGTGGACAGATGTGGACAGCATGGATAGATACTCGAGGAAGATCCCTTATGATGTGTGGTAGGTCAGAGGCTTATCAAGGGGAAGATGTACTTGGCATGTTGTATTATGATGCGGGATTGAGGCATATAATGATTTTTTTCAGAACAAAGTTACCCGGAAAAGACTATGGCCTTTAAAACCAACAGGTACAACTTTAAAATCAAGGTAGAAATTGGATCATTTAAGCAGTAAAAGGATCATGTAGACAATTTAGTTAGCAAAGGAATTGTTTTCATGAGAAATTCCTTTGCTTGCTTTCTGTCTTTAACTGCATCATAGTATTTTGTGTTTTCCTGTTGAAAACCAGTTTTGTCACCGATTTTAACATGAGGAAGGTCAGTTGTTATGTGCTGTTAGGAAAATTAAATATGTTTTTGCTTAGATGTAAGGAAAGATCACTTTTTAATCCTTTCTTTAGTGCTTCATAAAATGAAGGAAGAAGAGATACGAAATGTTGCAAAGAATGTTTAGTTTTGTCACCCTTGTGGACTTTCTAGTGATCTTTAATTGCATAGTCTTTCTCAAGTGATGTGACTTAGGTCTTATTTTTCAAGCTGTATTTATTTTCCATAAAGCTTAACAAAAGCTTGTCAAGGACATCTTGCTTCAGTGCTTTTTTCTCTTCCTGTACTAGTAAATTCTTGAATAGCTGAAGTTGCTCAAGTGTGACCATCTGTTCCATTCCCAGTAGAACGGTTCATTTCCCCTTGAGCCATCAGTCCTTAGCAAAGCCTGAATTCAAACGGTATGCTTTTTTCCTTGTTTTTGCCTTCAGTTCTTCATATTGTTCTCAGATAACACTGGGTATATTATTAAAAATAAATTGCCCTAGGTTTGTTCTGTCATAATTGTAAAATATGTATTGTCTCCTTTATATTTATGTATTTTATCCTACCAGACTGCGTTACTTAATATAGGGTAGTTTTTTGTGTTGAAGTATTTATTTAAATTTGGCCCTTTTTCTTATATAACCTCATCTTTGCTGTTTTTAATCCATTTCTCTTTTTTCCCCCTTCTCATTTGTTTAGAGTTAGACACAAAGTTTAAGCATCATTATTAATAGATTTGCAGAAGTGATGAGCAACTTGTCTTTTGACGTGCTTAACATTTGCATTTAAAATCATCCATAAAATTCTCTCCATAACTCATATCCAGTTGTTTCTGTAAAATACACTTTGTTATCTCCATAGATCAAAGCTAGGCAGGTACTGTAATGTCAGCTTTAGTGTTTGGTTAATGCTGCCAAGGTTCTTACAGTTCTCGAAACTTTGCTGTCGTTTCTTCTGTCTTATGAAGCTTTCTATTTAGTGGTACAATCTGGGAGTTGAAATCTGGCAAGTCATCCTCCCAAAACAGTGTTCCCCAATAGAAAGGCATTCTGCTTTTCCTCAGAGATGTTTTTCTTTGCTTTTTGTGTTGTTTTTTTTTTTGTTTGTTTATTTTGGGGGTGGTGGTGGTTTTGTTCTTGGTTTGGTTTTTGGTGTTTGTTTTTTGTTTGTTTGTTTGTTTTGTTTTTTCACTTTATAGGTAAATCTGTGCCTTGGTGAGCCTATACCTACTCCCTCTTCCTGCATCCTTTATTTGTTTGTGCCTTCTGCAAACAAAATCCAGTCTCTTCCTAAATAATAACAGATACTTATATAAATATTTACATATATATTTATATATATATGTAAAAACTGAAAATCTAGAGAATAACGCTTTTTTCAGTCTTGCAGTGGGGCTGCTAGATTTGCAAAAGGCATCTTTCCACTGTGAAGAATCTCACAAGGGCTGCTTTTTCATGTGAAGAGTGGGATTTGCTGAATAAACATTGGTCCCTGCAGAGCACCATCAGCTGGTGGCAGTATACTGACTGTTAGCAGTTGTTCTGCCTTCAGAGGGTCTCTGTCCTATCACTGGGGACTCTTCTTCCTAGTGCAGATGAAAGAACTCATTGCATGTTTTGTCTAAAGCAGAAGAGTCAGAGGCTGAATATTTCCCATTGCCAAAAAAAAATAATCTCTGTCAAGAATATGTGGAGGCTCTGAGATTGGCTTTTAAATTTGATTGGGAATATCTGCAGAAGTAGCTTTTATAAGAACATGTCAAGCTATCACTACTAAAAAATACTCAAAAATGTTGATTCATATCAAATGTTGCTGTTTTAATGACTCTACTTTTCAAATTTACCATGAACAACCTTTTTAAAAGTGATCAATAAAATCTTTCATTGTCACACAAGAAAAACTTTTTTTTCCAGTTCATTAATTTTCAATTAATGAAGAGTTAATGTTTGGGGGTTTTTTTCTTCAGACTTGTAGCACAGCTGCTTCAACATAAAATCTGTTGAGATGGCAGAAACTCTCAGTTCTAGTTGTCACTGTGTTCTTTTTAGGCAAAGACAGTCTCAGCTTCTCAGCTGACTAAATATGGATTGGCTCCTTCTTAATTACTTTTTCATTCCTTTCTAAAGAAATCAGTTTTAGCTGTTGGATAATAATAATCCTTTTCCATGTTTTTACTATTGTATATGATACACTGATCTTCAACATCTGTGCTTGAGATCTGGAATCAGGAAAGCACCAGATGAGTTTGTTTAGAGTTGAAACTGGGTAGCAAGGGTAAGGTGTTAACGCGAGCTATCCTTGTTATGATTCATCAAGTTAATTCTTTCATGAATGTTTTTACTTTCTAAAATTGGAAATGTCATTCAGGTTTGCTTTTGTTATTTTAGTTCTGAAAGCCTGACTGTGTTTCTTTTTCTGTGCACATCCAGAAGCTAAGAAAAACAGTTTCTATCAGTATTTCAAGATTTCTTGGTGATATTTTCATTTCTAACATTGTCTCTAAAAAGATATTTCACTGACTGCCTTTTGCTCAGGTACATAGTCAATTTTTTTATGCCTCTCTAGCATTGCTTCATGGTTTCTTTGTAATTTTTATCAGCTATAGATCTGTTCAGTAGTTCAAAAGTCGACTCTTTGAAACTTCACCGTAATTGTCTAGGAATTTGTGTATTTAAAACTGGAATGCATTGCAAGTAATTAAAGACTACTTCTCAAGTATACAGTTCAGGCTTCTTAAAGGCTTTTTAGTTGTAAAAAATGTTTCTTCAAGGAGTTTTGTTATAAATTTCAGCTAATAAGGTATAGAAGAAAATATACACATCTCTGATCCAGGGCAAAGAACAAATGCCGGTTTCCTATGTATATTAAAGGTTATCTCAGACATTCATATAAAATTCATATGTGTAGTGAACGAGACTTTACAAAGCCTGACACACAGTTCTTCTTTGTAAGGAGATATTATAGTGCACAACTGCTTGTTGTTTGCATGGGTAAAATTCTCCCTGTGTAGAGAATGAGCAGATGAGCTCTTTTGGCATCTAAAATAGATCTGAGTGTTTAAGGTCTATGCTTGATCTTTGCACAAAGACAAATTTATCCTTTTAGAAAGAGTGAAGTGTTACTGTGGCCTTGTAGATGCTACAAGTCCAGTAGCAGCTGCAGGGCTATGGCCCTGGGATGTGTCTGTGCTACAATTCTGGACTGTGGAGATCAGTTGTGCTCAGAAACCTGTTTTTCTAAGAGAAACCCAACATTCAGTAAATATAAGTTACTTCTCAAACACAGAAGAACTGTCAAAATCCAAATACAAAGAAAGGTTCTGGTAAATGTTTATTTTAAAGGATGAACAATAGACAAGATTCTAATTTATTTTATTTTCCTTAGATTCATCAGATGGAAGTCTAAAAGCTTCTACACATCATGGGACTATAGATGTTTATGTCAGTCAATTAAGAAAAGTGGATCTGAAATCCCAGAAAGGTTAGGAAACTAAAACAAAGATTGTTGTTCTTGTTGCAGCTTATGATGTAAAATAAAAAGGGGTAAGGGTTGGGGGTTTTTTTTGTTTGTTTCTGTCTGTCTGAAAAGCAGCATGACTTGTGATTGTTGGTTATCTCTATTCTGTTTTACCTCATTATTAGAAGGTGTATATACTGATAATACAGTAAACTCTAAGGGGCAATGATATTCAATATGGATTACAGAATATTTGTGTTTTTCAATGCTTTTTTTCCTGGCAGCGTACCCAGCAGAATCCTGCACATTTGACTTGTTGCAGTCTTCCTTTGCCTTGAACACGGTTTATTCCATGATGCTGATACGTATGTGTGCAGAGTGACAACTGACACACATTTACATTTCTTTTTCCCACCTTTACTGGTTGGAATGCCCTGTTCTTGAAATTGGAAGGCAGAAAAACAAGGATGAAAGGCCCTACCCTACCAGTCTTCCCTTTTTCTCCTGATTACTCACTAGAATTTCACTTCTTAGGTAAAAGCTCATGCCTAAAGTCAGATTCATAGTCTTACTATTCATGAGATATGATACTGTAAATGACCAAGCCCTGAATACATCTTGTTAGTCCTAGGTTTGAAAGAAAAAGCCCACACACTACAGTGTTTTTATACTTTAACATCAAGTCAGGCACTGCAGGTGTTTTAATTGAACATGGTATTTGGTACCCTTCTCTTGTCTGTGAGACAATGTCCGTGCTGAGTTAAAATGTAACAGTTACTCAGAATAATGAAGGAAATGCATTGAAATAACTTGTGTGCCATTCTTCTGCACCAGCTGTTCTGGTTTCTTTAGTGCAAAGTAATTTATTTTTATTTTATTTCTTAGTTACCTTTTGAATCACTTATTACTAAGATAATATTTCTTTGAGTTAGCAGGAAAGACAACCATATTTCGTAAAAGCTAATTAATGTTATTTTCAAAACATTGCCTGACATCCCTTCTGGCAGCACAGTTTAGTAAAGACAGAGTTGATGAAGTTCTGTTTTCATTTACCCCGTAAATTCAGTGTAGCTGCTGACAGCTGCAGTGTAGAAAATGTCCCATTTGTGATAAATTAACTGCATGTGTGTTGGATTTTATGAGTCACATCACTGAGAAACTCTCCAAGGAGGACCCAAAGATAAAGACCTTTCTTATCCTAAGGCTTTTGTGGCTCCAGCAACATTTAGGCCCAACTATACTGACAGTAGTTCATCAGGACTGTCACAGGCAAGTGATTCTGCTGAATTTAAATTGCACAGCTAGGGTTGCTTTCTGACCACTAGTTGTTACGTCAGGTTTTTTAGACCTAGAGCAGGTTACACAGAAACATGTCCAGGCAGGTTTTGAATGTCTCCAGAGAGGGAGACTCCACAACCCGCTTGGGCAGCCTGTTCTAGGTGCACAGAAACACATATTTAGGAGAAACAGAAGTCAGAATTTCTGGTTTTAACCTCAAGGGTAGAATTATTCATGTTACCAACGCTTCAGTTTTGTCAGTAGTTTGCATTTTTGTGATATGTAGTCTAAACTGGTTAGTCATTTTTGAGACTGCATCTGTTCAAGGATGTGAACAGCTGGCCCAGGGCAGTAAAGCAAAGACAACTGCAGCATTAACAATGTGTAAGCAGCAACTCATCATTCCAGAGGAGCAATTCCTTCTTAATGTGCCATGGATTAATCATCAAATCCGATCCCCTGTCCTTGCTCAGGAGTGTAAATAGGCAACTAGAAGATGAAGCTGAAGTCATAATACTTGTGAGATGTATTAGGTTTGCTTCCCTTGATCATTCCTATAATAAGATCCTCTACCAAGAGCTGTTGCTAGCAGTATATGTCAATGTTAATTTTCATGTCTGCCAAGGAAATACTGTGACACCACTTTCTCCATGTGACATAGAATCATAGAATAGTTAGGGTTGGAAAGGACCTTAAGATCATCAAGTTCCAACCCCCCTGCCATGGGCAGGGACATCTCACACTAAACCATCTCACCCAAGGCTTCGTCCAACCTGGCCTTGAACACTGCCAGGGATGGAGCATTCACAGCTACCCTGGGCAACCCATTCCAGTGCCTCATCACCCTCACAGTAAAGAATTTCCTCCTTACATCCAGTCTAATCTTCCCCTGTTTAAGTTTTAACCCATTACCCCTTGACCTATCACTACAGTCCCTAATGAAGAGTCCCTCCCCAGCATCCCTATAGGCCCCCTTCAGATACTGGAAGGCTGCTGTGAGGTCTCCATGCAGCCTTCCCTTCTCCAGGCTGAACAGCCCCAACTTTCTCAGCCTGTCTTCATACAGGAGGTGCTCCAGGCCCCTGATCATCCTTGTGGGCCTCCTCTGGACTTGTTCCAACAGTTCCATGTCCTTTTTATGTTGAGGACACCAGAGCTGCACACAATACTCCAAGTGAGGTCTCATGAGAGCAGAATAGAGGGGCAGGATCACCTCCTTTGACCTCCTGGTCGCACTCCTTTTGATGCAGCCCAGGATATGGTTGGCTTTCTGGGCTGCAAGCACACACTGCTGGCTCGTGTTCAGTTATGACAACTGCATGTGACTGTATGATAACTGTATGACATGCAGTATCCTGGTTATGATAAATGGCGTTATCTTCGTCTATCTTTTGAGAGACAAAAAAAGAGGTTACAATGTCTGAAGGCTCTTACAAAAACCTCCAAAACTCCAAACCAAGCAATTTGATTCAAGTTAGCTGAGTAATTGCCTGGTTTGTGCTTTGATCTCAGTGTTAAACTAACTAGCTTTCATTTGAATTTATACCAGGTTCAATTACAGTCAAGGTACCTGCCTCTCTCAAAGCCTATTTACAGTTGTCTGGAAGGAAAGTGGATGTGAGCTCAGAGATTCAATTAAAAGAAACACAGAGTGCCTCCAAAGATGATCATGTAACTATAAGTGGTAAGGCTTACTAATCTTGGCTTCCAATAAATGTCTGTCTGGCCTTAGTCAAAGGCAGCTATGTTTCCTTAAGAGTTTATTGCTCTTGGCTGCTTCTTATTTCATCTGTTTCAGGTTCAAATGTTTCCTTGTGTCGTTGTACTCCACATGTTACTAGATGACTTTTTCATTTTGTTTAGTAAATGACTTGTGAATGCTAACAACTGCTTCTCTAATAAAAGCCTTGGAGCCAAATTCATTCTCAGCGTTATTCCAGTGAATTTATGGGAGGTAGTCCAGGGCTGAATTTGACCCATTGCTTTGTTGGCTTATACTGTCACATATAATAAATTGCCAGTGAATGTCTGTTAAAAAACATAATGAAAAGTTTTCTGTCTGTCTCTGTTGGGTGGGAGGGGGAAGTAAAGGGGGTATACAGCATATTTATAGATGTACAGTGTAAAAGTTAAACAGTGCAGAAATGATGGGTGGGAAATAGCTAGGAGAAGAGCATAAGAAGCCTGAGCATGGAGGAGCAGAGTAAACAGAAAGGTGCCTGTGATTACTGCAAACTTTCTTCTAATGAATTTAAACTTGGACGTGGGAATCCCAAGTCCTGCTGTTTCCTGGTTTAGAAAACAGTTGTACAATTCATTGTCAGGATATGTATTTCTCTCCCCTTCTTCGGATGTGTCTATCTAGAAGTTGAGGCTGTTGCTGTTAACAATTACTACTCAGTTTGGTCAAGAGGAAATGTTAATGCAGTGTGTCTGAAGGCTCCAGCTTTGTTTTTGAATGTGTTATGTCATTATGACCTGATGTGATAGCAGACTGGGTGAGGCTTTGATTTTCATTTTGGTTTTAAACTGAAGAAAATATGTACAAAACTTGTTTTCCTCCTCCATGTTTGGTGATAATCTTAAAGTCAGGAAATGTTAGAAGTGTATGTACACAATTTCAGTATAGAATGATAGAATAGTTAGGGGTGGAAAGGACCTTAAGATCGTCTAGTTACAACAGCCCTGCCATGGGCAGAGACACTTCACACTAAACCATGTAACTTGCTTATATAAAATAGTAGTCTTGAAATGTATAGGCATAGACATATATATCCTACCTTGAAGAGTAACTAGCATATAAATATACTGGTGGTCGTTAAATACAATAGCTTTAAAAACCATGGTTAGAAGTTTTCAGGCTAGGAATCTGTGAAGGAACCCAGACACAAGCAAGGCTTTATAGAATGAGTTGTCTTAGCAGTAAAACAGCATTTCTCCCAGTGAATAAAGACCACTGGCCAGTTAATCATCTTATTACCCTGGGAATGTTAAAGATAAGAGTGGTGTTTCAAATATCCACAGCTGAATGGCTTCTCTGGTTTCATAACCCAGCCAGTGTTTATGTAGTACAGTCATCACTGAGACAGATGCAATTTTTCAACCACTATTCTGTATGGAAATGATCTTGGCAGTTGAGGCCAAAAGTAGCTCTGATTAGTTAAACCTCAAATTAAAGATATCCAAAAGGCATGGAAATTGGTGAGGATTATGCAGAGGGAACAGTGTTAGGCCAGTGATTATCAGTTGTTAATAATCATTGCACCAAAAAATTATTAAACATCAATCTAAATTGATTGTAATGCAGGTGAATGAAAAAGAGACCCTGGAATGGATTTTCTGCAGGATACAGTTCAGCTAAACTAGTGCTGGTCTGAAGTAACATATCTTCATCTGTCTCTATACCTGGCATTTAGCTTTCAGTGTTTTCTCATGTAATGTAGCCAGTGATGTTCTTCTCCCCTTTCTTCACTGGTCAGGTAGAAGCAACAAACATAAAGAGTAGCTGGGTTTAACATGTGCTTTGCTCTTTTTCTTACTGTTTTGAAAACAGGTCCACCTCTTTCTTAGCAAAGAAAGAGGCAGCATTTGCCCATTCCTTAGGCATGGTAGGGGAGATGCTTCCTGCTTCTCCTCCTCTTTACCTTAACCTGTGGGGATAGTGTATTTCTACTGCACAAGCACTTGTTCCCTATTCTCAGTAAACTTCTTAAAGTTGGTATTTGAGAATTTCCTTGTATAAGTAGATTCTGAAATAATTAAAAATCATTTAATACTGCTTCTATATCGTGAAAACTTTATCCACTGCTGAAATTTTAGGTAGCGTCTCTAGCTGTCCTGCTGCTGCAACTGAATAAATACAAAATGGAGAGAGAAGAGGGGTTTTGCAATTAGAAAAACACTCAATCACAAGAGCATGGCAGTTTAGACTTTTATGCTTCTGAACTCAAAGGTTAGTTTAAAAATAGATGATTTTTCAGAAACTGTCCAGTTCTCATGTGGATAACACAAGAACCAGCTGCTTTCAGGAAGCTTCACTTGCCACTGGGAATATTCTGAGAGATGTTAGAGAGGAGACTGCGGTGGGAAGACAGAGTTCTGTGAATGGGGTAGATATGCACCTTGTCTGTGACCAGCTCTAAGAAAGCCTTCCCTTCTGCTTTTACAGCAGTTCCGACTTACATCATTACCTTGCTTCACATGTCCCATTTCCACACTGAGTGGGGAACTCAGTGCATTAAAGTCCCACAAGCAGCCACATCTAGGGTTTTGCAGGGTAGTCAAGGATTAGGGTGGGATTTAGTCAAAGCAAGAAGATGAAAGCCTGGAGTGAATGTTCTGGAGGCAGAGTGATGAGGGTATGAAAAGGTGTTTTGCTCTTTTAGAAAAGGAAGGAACTTTCCTGCAGAACTGGGACATTTGCTGATACATGGAAGAAGTTGGAGAGCAGTGCCAGGGAGTTTACTCCTCAGAGTAATTTGCAAGGACAAAGCATCTGTTTCTATTGACATCAGAGTGCACTCTTAGAAGTAGTATGTATGGTATAGTGAAATCTGTTATAAAACCATATTTTTCATGCTAACCACTGGTCCAGTTTGCATTGGTGAAAGTGTTTGTTCAGCTGCCTGGTTTGAGTGCTTGAGTAACTCCTTTAATTTCTGGTGACAGTCATGTCAAGGCATTCTTTTCCTTTCCCTGGTGAAGAGGGAAGCCCTTGCTGCTCAACGTCTGTTCCTTCCCCATGTCTCCAGGTCTGCCTGTATTCTTAAGTCAGCTGATTTAAGATTGTAGAGATCATTAACCATGTCTGGTACTATATATGGTAAGAGGAAAGGTAGCAGACTAAGAAGTGACAGATAATTAATCAGAAAGGGAGTTTAAGAGACTGTTGTGTTAAAGGGCTTACAAACATGTTGAAGGATGAAGTTGAAGCTCAGATAATCTTGATTTGTATGCTTTTTAGGCCATTCTTCCAATAAGTCATTTATTCTGGTTAAGTCAAATTACAAAGATAGGAATAATGACCTGTGTAGTTCCAAGAGGAGGAATAGATCAATAAAAACATCATTAAACAGGAAACAATAGTGTTACACAGCTGAAAGGAAAATAAACAGTATATGAGCATGACTGTTCTGTAAAACTCAAAATAATCCCTTGGCTTTACATGCATTAGTAATACTTTGGTGGCATGTGTCCAGTTTTGAGTACTGTACTTCAAAAAGGGATGTGGGCAACTGTGGAGACTCCAGAGGAGAACACATGATGAGAGGCCTAAAAGCGTGATTAATGAGAGAAGACTAAAAGAAATGTTGGTTTTGTCTAAAGAAGAGAAGACTAAAGGAAGATAAGATGCATTTTTTCCAGTATGTAAGAAATTGCTGCAGAGAGGAAAGAAATAATTTCTTCTCTGCCCACTGGTCATAGGAATAGAAAGTATGATTTGACATTACAGTAAGTAAAACTTGGCTAAAAAGTAAAACTTAGATAAACTTTCTGGTGCTAGGCACTTGTCTGGTGAGGCCAGTCCAAGTACTGCAGACTGTGAAGAAGAGGCTAGGTGAGCACGTTGGGTTAGATAAAGTGCATACTTGGTTAGGTTCTTTCAGACCTGTTTTCTCTTGTCTGAAGTTGATATGACCGTCTGCTCCCACTCACCTTGCAGTAACTCAAATGAAGGTTATGAGGCATGGGGGTGGGTACATGTGGGGACTGAATGAATGCAGACAGTGGGCATGCTTCGGCCCACTTCCACTGCCAGCTTGTGTGCTGACAACTAAACTCGCTGGAAAAAGTCTTGCAGTCATTTGGAGACTTTCTTTAGGTCCTTGTAGCTGGTGGTACCCATTTCCAGATCTAATTGTGTGTCTGGAACGTAACCCCTTTCTTTAAACCGTGTAAATCTTCCATCTTTGAGTGGTGCCAGGGACTCATCTGATTCCAGATCTTTCCCCGTGCCTAGCTGCAGTTCTAGTGCGGAGTGAGCTTTTAGCTCTGGCAAGTCACTTGCTCCCTCTGGTTTTCAGCACTTGAGTGAGTTTTCCTTGGTGAAAGTCTCACAGGTGCTCCTCAGAGGCTGTGGATACTTGTCTGTGTAGGTTATTGTGAATTCCTGTTCTCACTTTCAAGTTGGCCAACCAACCTCTCTGTATGTTTCTGTCCTCTTACAAAGAATGTACTCTTTGGGAATTACTGTCTTCTCCCAAGTTGAGACGTACGTGCTCCCTATGCCATCCAGTGTGACAACAGTTGCAGCAGTTAACAGCATTTTTAGCTTTTGGTACTATTACACCCCATCTATAGCACTAGAGCTTCACTGAGCCACATGTGAAGAGTGTTCTGCTCGGAGCCATGCCTTATGGTGACCATGCACACAGGTAGTAGAGTGCTCTCTTGCATGTTAACTTACACCTTCCCTCAAATGTCTGTCCTTAATACGGACAGGAATCCCCTGTTGTCTTCTCTAAAGCCTTTTTTCCTGTGAGTTTCCACATAGATGTTGCCTTTACCTTATGGGTTGATCCAGCATCCAGTTGCTCTTCTGATCACCAGGAACACCTTAGATGGCTTTTCTCTTCGTGTGCCTCTGGAGAGAGCCTGTCTAATTACCAGATCCCCTTGAGAAGATGGACATTAATAGCACTGTCCTTGCTCTGACATGTTGGGCTTCTCTTAATAACATACTTC